CCCAGGGAGACTCATAGGTGTAAAAAAAAGAGCTTTATATACAAGAGCAATTGAACATTAAGAAAATATCCCAGCCCAGTCCAGATCAAGTCCATAAGTCTGATATTAGCCCATATGTCTGTTACCAATCTATAAAGTCCTCTTCAGACTCATGAAACACATGCAATGACACGGAATGCAGGACATCACAGGCCAGTGGGTGGAAAGTCTTGTGGATCCAGTGGATGTGCAAGCATCTCAGTTCTGGCAGGGGTCTCCATGTGGCTTCTCCAGCTCCGGGCACTAGCATATTCCATGTGTCTTGTCAGCTGCATTGTCTCCCAGGGATTGAGCAGAGAGAATGAGTGTCTCCTGCCCCCCAGGGAGGAATACCAGAGTTCCCAGAATCCTCAAGAGAAGACCATGCCCACACAGAGGCCTCATTGGCTATGACCTGATTGACAGGCTAGACTCCATCCCTTCACTCTTAATCCTCTCAAATTGACATACAATTATATAATTACCACATGTATATTTTAAAATGTGGCTTAAAAATACTTTCACTTGCTATTTTTCTACTTCCAATATTTTGCATTTGTCTTTCTTAGCACACAGACTCACGTCACTAACTATATTCTTTGAGTATAAAGATTGGTGACAGGTATCAGAAACTCAAATATCCATGACTACCAGGCAGACTTTGACAAATGTCAGCTTGGTGTTAAATAGTAGGAATTGATGGAGACTGTGGTCCATGTGGTCAATGTGGCCTCCACTAAAAGGCTGGCAGCTGCTTTGTTCCAGCCCAGCTAGTGCCCATGTTCCAGTGTGAACTCGGTGCAGCCCGATCATTTAAGGTTGCAAGAGGAGACTGAGATCTTGATTTGGGGATATTATCCTAACTTAAGACATTAAAAATGCTGTGTAAACCATTTGAAGCATATTTCTTGAGCATAAATGGCACTTAGGTGCTTAAGTAGAGATATATTCTGATCTATAGGAATGATCATGTTATTGTTGAATGCTAAGTCCATTCCTACTCCTACCTATTGAGAAGGACAGACTAGAACTGCCCTAGAGGGTTTCCAAGGTCATCTTTACAGGAGCAGAATGATAGGATTCTCCCCTGTGAGTGATTCCCCGACTCTTAGTTAGCTGAGCACTTAACTGCTGTACCACCAAGTCTTCTTGAATTCAAACTACAGACCTTTCAGACGGCAATTCAGCACATTACCACTATACCAACAGGACTCTTTTGACCAAGGCTTCTTTAGAACGATCCTGGCGCTCAAAAAGAAACACCTTGTTACCTCTCACGTTCCCTGTCTCCTTTGCTATTTCACAATATCTGATAGACATTTCTGATTTCTTCAATCAGTGTATGAAATACAGTGGATTACTTAATATATCTCTTCTAGACATAGCATTTTTAACTCTTTCCAAACAACTTTTTATTCCTGATGGATCTGGGTAAGAAGATGGTGGGAAAACAGATGGGATTATATGATTCAGCTGTGAGTGATTATTAATAGAGTGAATTGGGATTGTCATCTGTTGGATCTGAAATGAGCCATCTGAGAAGCAGAAGAGGGGGCTTCACTACTGGCAATAGAGAAATCCTAGTTGTTTGGATCTCAAATCTCTGTGCATTGAACCCCTGCCACCGAAGGTCACAGCTTTGAAGAGCAGAAGAGAAGCAGCAGCAGCAGGACCATGAAGCAGTGCAATATGCTTTCCAGGCCACAGAACTCATAGTACTGACTGCTTTGGGCAGAGGGCTAGTTTGTAAAGCGGGTTGCCTCTGGGAACTTAATTGGGGGAGCTGGGTTTGCTGAGCTACAAAACTAGAGTTGAGTGTCTTCGGGTTGAGCCATGTAGTAGAGTGACATGCCATTTGGACACTAAGTGTGAGCCCTCAAAGAGCTTTGCAACATTTCTGGAGTTTAGCAGGTGTGAGGTGAAGGGGCTGAGGGCCAGCGAGAGACCTGCCTGCAGAAATGACAGATACTCTCTTGACTGAACCACTGTGTCCTGAACATTTCTGGATGTAACCTGTTAACTTCCCTGATAAATCCCATAATTGCGAGCATTGACAGTGAGTACTGTGAGGCCATTGCAATTAATTCTAGAACTCAGCAGATAGTAGAGTTTCAGGGGAAATAGGATGTGGTCGTAGGATTGGTTAGTGTCAGAATAAGGTAAAAAATTATGGAGGTTTTGTTAGTCTGGGTAGACCAGAGAAACAAATTCATAGATACTCATATATTTATCAGAAAGAAGTTTATATACAAGGGCAATTGAATATTGAGAAAACGTCCCAGCTCAGTCCAGATCAAGTCCGTAAATCCAATATTAGCCCATATGTCTGATACCAATCTATAAAGTCCTCTTCAGACTCGCCAAATACATGCAATGATGCTGAATGCAGGAGGATCACCGACCAGTGGTTTGTAAGTCTTGTGGGTCCAGTGGCAGTAGAAGCATCTCAGTGCTGTCCAGGGTCTCCACGTGGCTCCTCCAGTGCCCAGGGTATGGGTTCTATTAGCATAGTGCCATATGTCTGCTCAGTAGAGTTTTCTCGGGAAGTGAGTAGTGTCAGTAGAGAGTCTCCAAGGGAGTGAGCTGAGAGAGAGAGAGAAGTGCCTCCCTGCTCCAATGAGGAAATACAGGAATTCCCAGAATTCTCAGGAAAAGGCCATGCCCACACAGAGGCCTCATTGGTTAGATCTTGATTGACAGAGCAGACTCTACCCCTTCACTTGCAATCCTCTCAAACTGACACCAGATTAGATAACTACCACACAGGGTGATGGTATGTCTGACCCCAGTCTGACCCCGAGACAATCAGCCTCGGGAACTGGAAGAGGTCAGACACAGCGCCCACACCATTTCCTCAGTGCATAAGAAGGTCACAGAATGTTCTCATTGTATCTCTGTGGATGAAGAAACTTGTTCCAGATGAAAAGAATTTTCATGCAAGGAGTTTTCATTTGTGACCTTGCATTTATTTGTTATTTATTTACATCTGCAGTCTTCAATGGTGGTTATTCATCCTTCCAGCTTAATGCTACTGATAGCCTCAAATAATATTTTCTTATGAAAAGTGGTTATTTATATATACTACCTCTCAAGAAAGTAAAGTAATTTTGTTGTTGTTCTTTATCCCCAATCCCTAAAATATATACTGGTCAAAAACAAACGAACACCACCACCACCAACAACAAAAAAAACCACCTCTGAATTATATTGATTTGCTAATGCAAGTTTACTTTGTTACTCATGCATTGATTGATCGTTCATTCATTCATTCATTCATTCAGTGAACTCTATTATACAACAATAGTGGCTTATGTTATTATCAAATGTTATTTGAAAATTGTGAATCATTAACTGGTCCTAAAAATTTCTGAAAAAAATCTTTGGTATTAAAGTTAATGAGATATATAAATTAATATGTAAACTGTCATTGTATCTCAGTTCTTTGTTGGGCTGTTTGGTAGTTTATTAACTTTTTCCTTGGTTTTCCTTTCCTATAAACATGTAATAAGGTAAGATCATATTACTCATCGCTCTTTAAATGTCTGGCTGCCCACTGAGTTCATCAGAACACTACTCCTGTACATTAAACACCCTTGGAAGATGGGCAGAAATTCACATACTATAAGTCAGCCAGCAAAATCTTTCAAGTCAATTCTCATAAATTATTTTGAACATTGTTCTTGTTTTAAAGAATTAGGATTTACTTAAGACAAATTAACTCAGTGTAAAAATAAAATAAGAACAATATTTAGAGATCTTATTTTGATGAATAATAATAAATAATCTTTGTTAACTATATTCTACTACAACAGATTAATCAGATCTCAAATACTCAATTAGTTACATAGATATCAAGATTATAGCAAAGCACCAATTTCAAAGTTCAAATGCACTTGTTCTAATGAAATGTCAGTATCCTATCTCCTTACTTATTGCTGTTAATGTGTTAACACTAAGCCAACTGCTTCACCATCTCCATTAATTCAATAATCATATGATGGAGTCAAAGTCATATTCTGTCTTAAAAATAGGATTGGATTAATTAAATTAAAACTCGGGTTTGTAATTGAGTTAAAGTCACCAAGGATAATTTCGATCAAATCGACAGTAGTCTCATGGGAGACACAAACTAGCATAATAGGGCTAGCATTGATGACTATGTCTAATATGTAGAGTCTTCTATTGAACTTTGGATATGTTATCGCACTTGGTGAATAATTTGAAGATCAGAATGTGTATCTTGAACAACAAAGTACTCTGTTTCTGTCTTCTGGGACTCGTAGCTTTCTTTATGAGTACCGTCTTTCTTACATTGGTCATAGGATGTATCATTAACAGGTGTTATTTACCAAGGATGAGGGTGGTAGGCAGGAAGATAACTCCATAAGGATAGCTACATCTTAATCTTCTAAACATATGGATATGTTAGGTTGCATTAAAAAAGAGAAATCTAAATGCAGATGCAATTAAGGTTACTAATCAGTTGACCTTACAATAGAGATTATCCTGGATTACCTAAATCTGTCCAATGTAATTACAATCACTTCAAAGTGAAAGAGGAAACTGGAAGAAATAATCAGAAAGATAGCAGTGTGAGAGGAATTTTATTGGTGGAGGGAGTCAGGAGCCAAGGAATATGGGAAGCTTCTAGAACTTGTAAAAGAAAAAGGAATGGATTCTGTCTTGAACCTGTCAAGCAGAAAAGTAGCCGATGAATACCTTTAAATGACAGAAACTTCTGACCTAGAAAACTATAAGATAATACACCGTGGACTTCTAAGCCACAATGTTTGTGGCAATTTGTTACCGCAGCAATAGAAAGACGACACACGGAGAAACTTTCCTTTGGTGGTTTGTTTGTTTGTTTGTTTGTTTGTCCAGTATCCTTTCTTATGAAAATTGCATCACTAAATCATGGCAAAAGTTCCAAACTTTCTCAAAGCCTTCGCTTATGAGTTTATTTGTTTGTTTGTTTTATTCAGGAAGTAATTGGTGGCAGCCAGATCAACATCTCAAAATGCAGTCAGGAAATGGAAGGAAATGAACAAGAAGCTTCCCAAAAGCATGAGGCTGAAGTTCTTGGAACAGAAATGGTAACTATTTAGAAAGACACTTTCCAAACGGTTTCTAGAACTGTGGGGAAATTCTGATCTTGTTCTGACCAATCATTTTTTTGTATGCAATGTCAATAAGTACCCTTCTCCACTTTGAAGTTGGCATTCCTTGCAATGCATCCTGAAATACATTCAAACTTTACGTGTCAATCAAATAGGTGCTGTCATAGCCTGAGTGAGCCCACCCATTAAGATAAATATGCGTGGAAGTCGTAGATGAAAATCACAGTGGGATGAAGAGTATTGTTTGCAGTATTGAAATAAGTCACATCTCTTTTTT